AATGAACCTCCACACCCCTTCAGCCACCCACTACCAAGGTCTCATCTGTACTGACAATAGACACAAATTCACAAAGTGCTCAAGGAAATCAGCACAGAGACCCAGCTACGTGAGCACAAAGGAGGAGTCCCCCATCCAAAATGAGAGGAAGAGGTAACTGCCTAAGTGGACACCAGGGGGAAGCATGTGAGTGCTGAGATATAAAACAGGAGGGTCACACCAAGGCTCACTCAGGAAAAGCACTAAAAGCTTGCAGAGAACTTGGGATTATATCCCATAGGCATTCCAGCCATGTTTAAACAGTATTCCTCAAAGACAGTATTGGTCAGAGGAGTCTCAGGAGCTGGCGTTAGCTGGGCTGGTGAAAAAAGGTCACAAGTACGTAAAGGCTTAAGACTAAGTGAAACGTGCCCAAATTTTTGGTTTTGGCAAACAGATGTATAAAATCTTTTCATAAGTGGAGGCAGAGTTCTGGGGAAAAAAAGATGGAACAGAAATTAACTTCCATACTTTCTTAATCCATGTAGCTGATCATTTTCTTGAAGAAAGAATAAATTATTATAATAGCTGCTTTTGATGCAAAGTTAGTAAGTCCAATGGAAATGATTACAGAATTTGAGCTCCATTTATATTATCAGAAATGGTCATTACAGATTAAAACCATTCTAAATGAAGATGCTTAGGTGATAAGTGTTAATAATGTAAGAAAGAGACACCATCAAAATAAAGAAAACCCACAATGTACTAGATGAACAAATGATACACCACTAAGAGGTTAGTTTTCCACAAAGTCATGACAACATGAGTGAGAATTCACAACTTAGTTTTTGATGACTACATTCAATGAAAACTGGCGATAAAAATCTCTAGTCTATTGTCTTTGCCTATTCACTTAACTATTTCTCTTGACTATAGTCTTACAAAATATAACAAAACTAATTAGTTTTTAATAGATGAAAATATCTTCATCAAGAAACAGTTATATACAATATACAAAAATCTGTAAATACCAATTCTTCCATGATGCAAAATCATCTTACTAGGACATTCTCAAACAATGCAAAAGTTTGGAGTTCTCAGTATTTCATAATAAAATAAGTAATAGACAATTTATTCCAGTAACTATATAATTTACAATTATTATATCAGTTTATTTAGCAAATATATTTATTTTAAAAAATGGTATCACATTTTAGGATCTCACCACCATGTATAATGCTTTTATTTATTTACTTATTCATTTTTATTGTTGAAAGTATTACAGTTGCCCCCCTTTTTTCCCCATTGACCCCTCCTTCCCACTCCCACACCCCTCCTGCCTTCCTCGGCCTAGTGTCTATGTCGATTGGTTATGCATGTATGCATGTAAGTTCCTTGGTTTATCTCTTCCCATCCCCCACCCCCATCCCTCTGAGTTTGTCAGTCTGTTCCTACTTCCTTGATTTTGGATCCCTTTTGGTTGACAGCTTATTTTGTTCATGATGTTCCACAAATAAGTGACGCCATGCGGTATTTGTCTTTCTCTGACTGGCTTATTTCACTTATAATGCTTTCATTTAAATGAGGAACATATAATAAATAATAGCAATTATTAATAGTCATATTCTAGACACCGCACTATGCACTTTATATACACAGTCTCATTTAATCCCAACAATAAGCCTGAGATATAGGTATTACATCTGTATTTTAAAACAAAGAAACTAGCCCTGTCCAGTTTGGCTCAGCAGTAGAGCGTCAGCCCGTGGACCAATGAGTCGCGGGTTCAATTCCAGCCAAGGGCATGTACCTCGGTTTCAGTTCCTCTCCAGCCCTGGTCAGCGACATGCAGGAGGCAACCAGTCCATGATTCACACGTGGATGTTTCTCTCTCTCTCCCATTCTCTCCCTCCCACTCTATCTGAAGATAAATAGAAAAATATCCTCAGGTGAGGATTAAAAAACAAACCAACAAACAAAAATCCAGGCAAGTCAAGTGGTTTGTCTGATGTCATACAGTTACACAGGGTCTGAGTTGTACCTGAACCATCTGACTCAACAACCTATGGTGGTAAATAATACTGTCGTAACTATTACTTCCTTAATAGCGACTAAGGTCCATTCTTGATTCCAGGCTCAACTTTAGACTTCAATTTGGCTTCCCCAAAATGAAGGAATACATCATTCATGCCAAGTTCACTCTAGTACTTATGTCAGTAATATGTAATGTTGTAAATTAAATTCCAACTGTCTTACTTTCTGGTTCAGTGTGGTGAAATCTTACACTGGGCATGTGGTTCTAAACTCTGCAAAGAAAAAAGCCACGTATGGTCAAAACAATCCTGGCATACCCCTAGAAAAGTACCACACTGGTGACCAACCACTTCCCAACATTCCCAATAAAGAATGCTTTTCTTCCACTATTGGAAGAGATCAGTTTTTGAACTGAGTACCAGATAGAGAACTGAAAAAGACTTAAGAGATATGCATGCACATTGAGTAAAGTATTTAAATGTCAACTATTTTAGTTGCTATTTTGCTCTTCTTTTTCCTTAAAAAACAGGTTTAGCCCTGGCCGGTTTGTTTGTTTGTTTGTTTGTTTATTTATTTATTTATTTATTTATTTATTTATTTATTTTAATCCTCACCCGAGGACACTTTTCCATTTTTTTGTTCAGATAGAGTGGGAGGGAGAGAGAGGACGAGAGAGAGAGAGAGAAACATCGATGCGAAAGGGACACATCGAGAGGCTGCCACCCGCACGACCAACCAGGGCCGGGGACAAACTGCAACCGAGGTACATGCCCTTAGCGGGAACCGAACCCGGGTCTCTCTAGACCTCAGGCCGACGCTCTAACCGCTGAGCCAAACCGGCCAGGGCAGCCCTGGCCGGTTTAGCTCAATGGTTAGAGGGTCGACCCGTAGATCAATGAGTTGCAGGTTCGATTCCAGTCAAGGGCACGTACCTTGGTTGCGATTTGTCCCCAGCCCTGGTCAGGGTCATGCGGGAGGCAACCAGTTAATGCGTCCCTCTCACGTTGATGTTTCTCTCTCTCTCCCTCCCTCACACTCTATCTGAAGATAAATAGAAAAATATCCTCAGGTGAGGATTAAAAATAAAGAAACAAACAAACAAAACAGGTGTATTATTTAATACCACCATATAATTCAGGCATACCTCGGAGATATTGATGGTTTGGTTCCAGACTATCTCAATAAAGCAAGTCCTAAACTTTTTGCTGGTGGAGGGGCTTGCCTTCAATTTGTAAAAAAAAAATTTAAAAATGCAACATCTGGAAAGAGCAATTAAATGAGGTATGCCTGTATTAGACTCTCCTGTTTAAAAGTAATAAAAGCAGTTATGGAAGACCACTTTTTTAAATCATCAACAATTAGCCTGGCCAGAGTGGCTTAGTGGTGGAACGTCAACCCACGCACCAAGAGGTTGCTGGTTCAATTCCCAGTCAGGGCACATGCCCAGGTTGTGAGCCTCACACCCAGTAGGGTGCATGCAGGAGGCGGCCAATTGATATTCTGTCTCATTGATGTTTCTATCACTCACTCCCTCTCCCTTCCTCTCTCAAAAAAATAAAAAATCAATAAAAATATTTTTTAAATACTAATAATAAATATAAGTCCTCAACAATTTTCTTCTTACTTTTTCATTTAAAAATATTTTAATGGAAATGCTATCATAATTTATAATTATACTAGAATAATAAATGTTTTCACATAAGAACTCATAGTTGGAGATGCTAAGATGCTTTGCAGATGTACACTATTTAGACTTCTTTTTAGTTTTCTCTTTCAATGAAAGTTACTGTGATCCCAGTGATGTTTCTAGGAGATAAAACAGAAGAATTTCCATGGAGTCCCTCATCGTTTTTTTTATTGCCATCTGCTATGGTAATCCACACAAAAAAACTACTTTCTTAAGAACGATTTCGAAATCTAAAACTCGTGAAATATGGTATATAAATACCAAATGCTAGAAAACATATCTTTATGTAATCTTAATTAATCTTTAATAATTTGTAAATACAGTTTTAATTTAACAATGGTTCTTTTCTAAACCTGTTACCAGAACTCCAAGAATTTTCTATTTTTTATTTTCATGTTGAAATAAAAAAGCTAAAGGGAAGAAGTCAATATTGAATTCAAAGTTGTTTCAGGCAAAGGGGAAAGAGAATCAGAATTATTTTGTGTGAGGCTGTTTCTTTTTTTCACTCTCTCTACCCAGCTATCAAGAAAGTTGTGGTAATATTTTAAGCCCAAATTAGATTTTGAGCCATGTGTCAACTTCACCAGGAAAAGTCATCTTGAAATACACGAAGAAAATACTCTTTCTACAACGATGCACAATTAGAAACCTTACATTTCCAAAATAAATGCTTTTCTGATCTTGCTAGATCCAAGGTAAACAGGGATTTCTGAAATTTGCATATAACTCCACTACTTTAAATAGAATCAGTAACTTCAACCCTGGCCCTCATCAAAATTATTAGAGGAGTAAGATTGAAATCAATCGAGTGATCTGACCTTTACAAATAAATTTCCATAATTTAGTGAGGTTACTCTCACAATTATAGACTGAATTCAACATAAAAATACACAAACAGCTGTAAAAATGCATAATTAATAATACGGAATAAGGACATTCTCGGTATGTTCTGGGGCCTCTTGAATGGGACGAGGACCGGAGCATGCACGAGGCACAAGTCCTCCTAAAGGGTATTTCCACATCCGACACACAGTGACTGGAAGGCCGCAAGGGCCTTCTCCAACTTCGGATCAAAAGTACTGGGGTTGAAAGGGGTGCGATGCTGAGACAACAGTACAGGATGCTTCGATGTTTTCTGAGAAAGCCCGGGGCTGAGACCCGGCTCACAGGCCCAGCCAAAGGCTCCCTCCCACTGGCTCCCGCCCGAGGCCGTCACCGCCCACGCCCGCGGCCTGGTTGCCTAGCAACGCGGCCCGCCCACAAGCCCTAGCCCGCAGCCAAGGCCAGGGGTCCGATCTACCTCTTTTTTCTTCTGCCCTCCCCCGAGCTGGATGCACAGGAGCAGCAGGAGGAGGAGGAAGGGGAAGCTCCCGGTGGGCAGGTACCGCAGCCGCCGCCCCGCCTGCCTCCGGCGTGAAGGAGCGCCCCTGGCACCCATCGCCGCAGGGCAGTGTCTCCTCCACGCGCGGTAACCGTGTGCGCCCAGCTCCTACCGCGCCGCGCCGGCCAGACCAGCCGCCCGGAGCCTCCTGCCGCGCCCTCCCTCGTGGGTGCTTGCGGCTTCGCGGGGACTACGCGCGGGAGCGCGGAGGAGGAACTGACAGAGCATCCGGTTCGCGGGAGGGGACCTGGGAAGGCGGGATGGGGCAGGAAGTGGGCGTGGCGAGGGAGCCTCCGGCTCTCCAGGGCCCCCTCCCCCCGACCTGGGGAGGCTGTCCTGCCACTGAAGCCAACACTAGTCCTGGGATATGCGAGGGCCTGTGCGTCCCACGCTACCTGGAGCCACGGGCAGACCTGTGTCTCTTTGGATGCTGCAGAAGAGCTTTAAGGAGGACCAAGGACCTGGCCCCTCTTGCCAATAGCATCTCTGTTCCCATTTGGTACCTTTTGAGGGACACAGCTGTGGCTCACATACTGAGCCCTCTGAAGCCCTAAGCTGTTCCTTGCGGGTCCCAAATGAGGGGCCAACCTGCTCCCCACTTTGTTGATGTGTTCCCTCATTCCGTCCGCATTCACAGAGCGCCCCACTGCAGAGCACTGTTAGACACTTGGAATGCAAAAATGAATAGGACTTAATTCCGTTTCGGCTCTCTGAATATTTCAAGAAAAATAGCAACAGACTGTTCATTGAATATTTGATATGGGCCAAGTACTGTTCTAGTGTTTGTAGGTACCCTTTCATTCATTTGTCTCAAGAGTTTTTCACTTGGATCCTGAGTTCATTTGATAGGCTGATGAAGCCAGCTGACCCAGGTTTAAAATAGTACTTCTAAATGCAGACATGAAATACATCCGATTGCAAAGGAATTATAATTAAATACCATTATCAAAATTAAAACAATTCACCTCCTTCTACCTGGTGGTCAACCAAAATTTGTATTTTGGAAATACTGGAAAGCAATGTAGATGTGAGAACCAATATATAACATTCAGATTTCACAGTGTGATTAAGATTGTTCACCAGGCACAGAATTGTGAGACCCTTGGCCAGCTAAGTGGCACTAGGGCTGTAGATAAAGTCTGCAATCATATGTAAACTAGCAATATATCTAATGACAATTTTAATAAATACGGTAATTTTGAAGTAGTAATGTTAACGATATTTTGAAATAGCTGCTACCATTATACTGGCTCATGAAAGTATCTGTCATTTCTACAAGAAACAAAGCCATGTGCACATCTAATACAACCATGTCTTGTTGCCTGTCTTCATGATTGAAAGAAAGATTTTCATGAGAGATTAATAGAAAAAAGATCTTTTTTTTTTTCAATGCAAAGTTCACAGATGCTCTGAAATTTCATGAACTCCAGAGTAACAACTCCTGCTCCACAACTACCTTATCAGATAAATCCTATTATAGCAATTTTCAGATAAAGAACTCAAGGTCAGAAGATCTAACTCAAAGTCATATAACTAGATTCCTGGTCAGGGCACATGCCTGGGTTGAGAACTTGACCCCAGTAGGTGGTGTGCAGGAAGCAGCCAGTTGATGTTTCTCTCTCATTGATGTGTCCATCTTTCTCTCCCTTCCTCTATCTCTAAAAAATCAATAAAACCATATTTTTAAAATAATAAAATAGTCAATCTAGAAAGTAAAATGCTTTTTAGAGTTCTGTGAGCCACTCCAGCAAATCAATTGAACTCAAGGAGAGGGTTGTTATACCCACCAATCTATAGCCAATTGGTCAGAAACAAAAGTGTGAGGATTTATAAGAACTTCAATATCATAAATTGGGGTTCAACAGTTGGATTTCTACAACTTGAGCTCTGAAGCTGTTTCCAAGGCTTAACTTTGCCCTTTTGGGCTCTGAAACCACCTGCAGAAGAAGCAGCTTCCCTGTGCTAATTGTACTGTTTGATAAATTGTACCCACTGTATGGGTGACAAGCAACACCCCCTGTACTGGAACTACTCTACCAAAAGCCATTGTTCTGTGAGCCTGCAAAGAAACTAGGACTTGGATAAGCGCTTAATCATATGTTACCCATTGTTCTTACCACTGAAAGTTCATTTGCCCCCACCAATCAGAAAAGGAATAATATAAGTTTATAACCTCATTTCCCTAGCAGCCCTTCTCTTTAATGATCATCATCTGCAATGTATGCCTTTTTAAATCCCTGCCTCCCCACCCATGACCTCCAGTGTCCTCGGATCATACCGAGGGCTACATTTTCTGATTTGCAAATCATATACTTTCCAAAGTATTCCCCCTAATATTTCCAGTACTCAGCTGGCACCATACATAGTTATTACAATATTATTGACTATATTCCTTATGCTGTATTTTACAACCCCATGATTATTTTGTAGCTGCTAATTTGTACTTTTTATTCCCTTCACCTTTTTCACCCAGCCCTCTAACCCCTCTTCCATCTGGCAACTCTGAGTTTGTTCTCTATCTATGAGTTTTCTTTCTGTTCATTTATTTTGATTTTTATATTCCACATATAAGTGAATTCATATGTATTTGTCTTTCTCTGTCTGACTTATTTCATGTAGCATAATACCCTCTAGGTCCATCCATGTCGTTGCAAATGGTAAGATGTCATTCTTTTATGGCCAAGTAATATTCCTTTGTATGTATGTACCACAAATTCTTTATCCACTTAGGTTGCTTCCATATATTGGCTATTGTAAATAATGATGCAGTGAACATAGTGTTTGTCTACACTAGATATTCCCAGAGTGCACCCATACCAGCCAAGTGGTTCTTTCATATCTGTTACTCTGCAGAACTTCTCAAGCACCAGAAAAAGAGAGGGAGAGGAACAGAAATAGAAAAATAAGAAGTGAGAAGCCAACTTCAGACAAGTATTAAATTATCATTGCAAAAGGGTTAATTATCTTCTATCTGCAAGAAGAGGAGACAAAGTTTAGACATAGGAAAACCCATTTTGACATATACAAGAGAGAGAGAGAGAGTCCTTGACAGTTTTATCAAGCCATGAAATTTAAAAGCCAGGTTGTTTGAACCTTGAAGTATTGAAATGAAATGGAAGAGTAATCTTCCAGTGAAATAAAAGAATCTGTTGTAGACAAGACAATCTCTTCCTACTTGTTTCTTCCCCTTTTGTTTCAAAGGAGTTATCAAGTAAACATCTTGCTAATGTCAAAAGTTCCCCTAGTGGTCACCGCAGTTTTAAATTGTCTCTGGGAAATGTCACCAGTTAGAGGGTAAATATACATTATATTTAATTTTTTATTTTTATTGAATTTATAGAGGTGACTCTGGTTAACAAAATTATACAGGGGTAAGGTGCACAATTCCACCACACATCATCTGTACACTGTACTGTGTGTTCACCACCCCAAGTCAAGTCTCTGTTCCTCACCATTTACCCCCCATACCCTCCTCCACCTGTCCTCACAGAAATCACCACACTCTTGTTCATGTTCATGAGTTTTTTCTCTTTTTCTTTCTTTGATGAATTCTTCCACACACTCCCAGCCCCCAACGCCCCCTTCCCCAACCACTGTCAGCCTGCGCTCTCTCTATGCATCTGTCTCTGCTTTGCTTCTTAGTTCATTTTGTTCATTAGATTCCACATATGAGTGAAGTCATATGGTACTCGTCTCTCTCCAACTGGTGTATAGAACATTAAGGAAACAGGGTTTGGGCCTGGAGGAGGTGCGGTTTCTGATGAAAGTTCCCAGGAAACTTCAGCAATCAGTAAGGCTGGTACTAGTGCAAACTTGTGTCCCTGAAACCTGCCCTGATCAGACACCAGACAAATCTTCCTGACTCTGGGCAGGTGAAACTAAATAAATCATTTCTCACAAGACCGAGGGAAAACTCATTTGGAAATGGTAATCTAAAGCACTTTTACCCAAAGAACACCAGTGAGAATTCCTCCTTCCTCACCACTGACTCAAGGTGGGACTTTCCAGGTCTATTTCTGTCCCCTGCTTATAGACTGTTTCTCCTGTAGACTGGAAACACAGATCATAGAAATAAATACTGCAAGGCCAGAAAACAGTTCACCAAGAAACAATATAAATCCGATCATATGACTAAAAGCTCCCAAGATAATTCATTCCTAAGTGAATGAACAAAACAAAATAAACCCAATGCTGAGCAGTCACAATGGAATATCAATCAGAGCTCAGTTCAGAGCAAAATGAACTTCCCCTCCAAGGCCAGGGTGCCACCTTGAACATATAAACAGAGATCTCAGGAGTCTCCAGTGTGCACACGATTACTAAGCCTAGAGTCCTGCTCCAGTAGTGAAGGTGTCTGCTGAACACGGTGAACCTCCATTTCGGATAATATCCTCCAGCCAAAGAACACACCTGAGGGGAACCAAGACAGGTTCCTTGGCTCACTGATTTAGGATTTAGGCTTGTGTTTAATCTTTTCAGGAAGATTCAAGGAAGCGTGGTTCTGCTCTGAATTGAGAGCCTTCAGAAGCAGGGAAAGTTCTATGGTAGGGTATCTTAATAATTTTTTTCTAGAAGATTAAAAGAGCAAAGTAGAGCTAAATAGAAAATTGATCAAATAAGGAGCAGTCGCTCTATTAGCTGGGAGAGGTGGTGCTCGGTCATATCTGTGTTTGTGTGGTGCTGTTCTTGTCTTTGCTCTGACAGATTGTGGAAGGGAAAGGATTTTGTCTTGGTCACTGTCACAGAGTGGACTTGTCTGATGTTCACATCCTGTGAAGTTTTCAACAGAGGGAGACCAAGGCCTGTTGTTAGAGCCAGATCAGTTCCGAGCTGACTAAAGCCAGGAGTTTATTTGTTCGTTCTCTTCTTGAGCAAAATTATCTCAATTTTCTGATTTAAAACATCATAGGATTCTCACTAGGATTAAAATGAGCAAAACACGTAAGGGAATTATTACAAAGCTCAAAATATATACACTCAATACATAGTTGGTGGTGTTAACGTTGATCATTTACCATCACATTGAAAATATGTCTATTCCCTTCCTGCTGAGGACGGGAACAGGGCTTTGTTTCTCTTGTACCCCTGGCAACGACTTGTACTTTCTACACCAACACTGCACAAAGTAGAGTGTTTGGGAACATGGACTCTGGACTGGGACTCTGTTGTACTTCTTAACTAGCTGTGTGACCTTGGGCAGCTTACATCATTTCTCGGTGCCTCAGTTTCTTTATTTGTAAAAGAAGAAGAATAATAG